CCCCAAAACCCCAAAACCCCAAAACCCCAAAACCCCAAAACCCCATTTAAGCTCTCCTTAATAAAGTTATATTAATTATTATTATTAAGAAAATGATAAATCCAAGTGAGTTTACTAAAGAAGAACTTGAAGGTATCAATAAGGTAATTTAACCCATCAGACAAGTACTTATCTAGGTCTTACTCAATGGTCTCAGCTTTGTCTCTGCTCTAAAGCCAGGCTAAGTTGGAGAGTTTTGTGGAGATTTAACTTACAGTTGGATATTTAATCTTTATCTGTTCTAACTTCCTAAATAGACCCTGGCTGAACTCTCAGATCCAGATGCTTTGAAAGAAGAAGTAAAGAAGATTTTTGACAGCTACGATGCTGATGAGAATGGATACTTGGATAGATCAGAGCTGAAAAACTTCTTAAATGAGATCTCAACAAGTCTTAAGCTAAAGATGTACATCGACGATACAGTAGTAGACCATGTCTTTGGAACTATCGACCAGGACAAGAATCATCAGATCGAGCTGGATGAGTTAGAGGAATATGTCAGACAATTTGTAGAGAAAATGCTTCCAATTTACTCCAAAGCACTTGAAGAATCTGGCGAATAATATGGTTAAATCGATAATGAATCCTCATAACTTATGTCTTAGCTTAGTTATATGGGTCTTACTTTGAATTAGATCTTACCGAAGAGGATCTAAGCATCAAAATATTGTGGTAGATTGTGAATAATTATCAGCAAAGTAAAATATCTGCTATTTATCTCTGTGTTTCACCGATTTTCGAAGCCTCTCATTCCAAAGCAATAAAAGCAATTATTTTAAATACATGCAATACTTCTCTTAATATAAAATCTAAATTCCTGACTAGTCTGTGGCAAATTCTCTCAATTTTCAATAAAGCACTACAACTTTTCTGCCGAAAACATTGGCGACTTAAAGTTGCCAAATCTCTGGGCCGTTGATAATCAGTTTCCTAAAATTCGGCTTTAGATAGTTAAAAATCCATAAAATTCCTCATGAATTAGCCCCTTGGGGTTTTGGGGTTTTGGGGTTTTGGGGTTTTGGGGTTTTGGGGTTTTGGGG